CGAGCGCAGCGAGCCGTGATGGGGGCGAGCGAAGCGAGCCCCCCCATCGGCCCCCCCCGGCTGGTGAGGGGGCCTCGCCGGAGGCGCCGCCGGAGGCAGAAAATTTGGTGCATTTTCCTTTCATTTCCCGTCAAAATGGGCCCAAATGCGGCATCAAAAAGGGCTTGACTTCAGCTGCAAACATCGCACGGAATGTAGAAAAAAAAAAAAAAGATTAAGATTGATGTATTGTCGCGTATCCTCAGCAGTACCCTCCTTCGGTCTCTCCCTGTGTCTACTTCCCGGTTGGTTCTGGACATGGTGCTGTTGTCTGCTGTTTCTGCGCTGCTGTGCTGTGTGTGTGTGGCGTACAGGGGCTCCGTACTGCTGCGCATACCCTAAATTTGATTCACGGAGCCCCTAAGAAAACATCGGTCGGAACATCGGCACGAATTTTCGATACCGATATCGATATATATCGGACGATATATATCGTGTACATCGTTCCGATTCACAACTCTAGTGGCTAATGTTACCAACGTTACGTTCTTCTCTCTCTCTCTTTCTCTCTCTCTCTATCTTTCTCTCTCTCTCTCCTTCCTCTCCCTCTCCGACATTTTTTTTCATTTTCTCTAATTGACCTCGGCACGCTCTCGTTGTGATCTGACTGACGCGTGCTCATACCGAAAACAACCAGGTAGATCGCCTTCTGCTGGAGCTGAAGCTGCCTCCGGCGGATGCGTATTTCAAGCTCGTACACACCTTGGAGGAGGTACAGTACGCGATGTTTGCTGCTGTTGTTACCGTCTATTCGTTGCCTACTAGATACTGCAGTGTTCTCGTTGCTGTTGCTGTTGTTATCGTGTCGTCGTAGTTATCCGTGGTTGTTTTTTGTTGTTGTTGGGCCGGCGTGTGCAAACGTCAGCGCGGCTGCTAAATGAACAACGAGGACATGGTCGGCTTTTTGATCGCTCCAAACCGCGAGATGACTTTGAAAAAGCATCAGTTTTCCTCACGGCTTGTTAACCGCTGTCAACAAACCTAGTTATTTGACTTATCCTCTCATTAGTCCCACTCATGCCTGTCGATTCGATTCAAGTCACCCTTTTCTTTGTGCATGGCTTCTCTTCACTTCTCTTAATGTGAGCATGCCTCATCTTCTTTGTTTGCGTGCTTTCTTCTTCGCACACAACAAAACAACAACAACAACAAAAGCACGTCCCTCCCACGGCGTCCCCAGGTGAACGCCCTCATCGCGGCGAACAGCACGGAAGTCACCGGCCCCCCGCAGAGGCTGGACCCGGCCAAGGGCAACGTTTGCTTCGCGTCGGCGCAACACGGCTGGGCCTTCACCACCGCATCTTTCGCCAAGGTACCCAACTCGGGTGATATTAGCTACTCTATCGCGCCTGCTATGTGATCGTCTCCCGGTTTACCCCGGTTTACCGGTATTTAGCGCCCGGTTCTTTGGCACCGCGGAATGTGTGTCTATGCTTCTCCTGGCGGGTTTTGTGTAGCTTTGGTCGTTTCTTGGGTGAAACAACCTTTCTTCCGTGGCAGGGGAATTGGCCTTGGAAATTATGAAATGATCGAATTCGGGTATGTGTATTTGTGGTTATGGGTGGGGGTACTCTGCAGCCGTAGATGAGCACCGAGGAAGTGGAGTTCCTCTCCACTACATGGCGTGTTGTCTCTTCCTGAGTTGGTTCGTGTATCGTGTGGAGGTTCGCGCTGAACCGCCGCTGTAAGCTGAGCAGGTGAAAGGAGGATGTTTCTGACTCCAGTCTCTGAAACTGAGGTAGTTCTCGGAGGTTGTTGCCGTTTTTGTAGGCCTGTTCTCCATCGGCCGTTTTGCTTGTATGACGGAGAATAAGAAGGTGGAATTACTTGAAATTAGTATAGAAATAAAGCTTGTGTATCTAAATCGAAAATAAAACGGCCGATGGAGGACAGGCCTAGCATGGACACGAAACTCTAACCCCACTGTTGTGTTCGTTTCTTTAACATCGCTGTCGTCGTCGTTGTTTCGATGGAATAGACGTGTTTCCGTAACGACGAACAGGACGTTTATCACAGGCTCTGGTTACATTGCCACACAAACCGCCTCCTTCGCTCTGTGTTAGGTGTACTGCGACGTGTACGGGGAGATGAGTCCGAAGGAGCTTGGCAAGCGTCTGTGGGGCGACGCTTGGGTAGACCCCACCACCCGGGCGTTCAGAAAGGGATACCCCCCGCCGGACTGCCAGAGGACCTTCGTGCAGTTCATCCTCGAGCCTATGTACAAGATTTACTCTCAGGTGGGCATGTCGCCGCTCTTGTCGTTGCCGGTGTTGTTGTCGTTGTTGTTGTTGTTCGTTATTGCGTATATTTCGTCCGGAGGCTTAATTCTGTGCACGTCGTGGAGACACTTGCTATAGACTTCTTGGTGTTGGCCCATTCCTACCCCCCGCCGCCACCGCAAGACGCTAGCTGTACTGGGGCATAGCAAGTGGGTTGAAAAGGCGGGAAGTGATATCGGTACAATAGATGAGACTAGGGAAGACATTTTTGAGCCACCTTTGGCAAAGTAGAAAGGAACGATTGGCCATCGGTGATCGGTCCTGTGGGAACAATGCTCCGTCCTCTCGAGGATACGTGGTCAATGGTCTAACCGCTAAGGCATGCAAGACACAACTAGCACGCCCCCACCGCCACCGCTTTGTCGTTGCCGACGTCAGGTATTGGGCGAGGAGGCAGACACCCTTCGGCACACGCTCGCCGAGCTTGGCGTAAGAATCGGCAGGGATCAGGTGAGAAAGGAATGGTTGGCGCTGTTGGCGCTACTGGTGTTCTTGGTGTTGCCGTTTCCTGGGTTGTCGTTGAGGGAGGATGGTGTGCCGAAAACGTAAGGAATTGTGCATGGACAGCAGTGTGTATTGTGGTACAGAGACGTTTCCTGAGTGCCACGCTCCGTCTTTCGGGAACATGTGCACAGCTGCAATAAATAGTACCATAGCATGGGCTTTGTACCACAGAAACAAGTCGATTGGCGCTTGTGGTCATGTCGTCTCCTGCTCGAAACTCGCTCGGCAGTGGTTCTGGGCACGGTATAATAGCACAACGACTGCTCAACTCAGTGAAGTGGTGCTCTCAAGACTCAGAGGGCTACGATGGTGCCCCCCACCCCTCTCTCACCCACCACTCCCAGTTCTACCTTGACCCGAAGCCGCTGCTGAAGCTGATCTTCACCAAGTTCTTGGGGTCGGCGTCTGGTTTCGTGGACGTGGTTGCGAAACACGTACCTTCTCCGGTGGCGAATGCGCAGAATAAGGTGCGTGAAGCGCACACACAGAGACTGAGAGAGAAGGATGCCGGAGCTGATTTCGTTTTTGCGGAAGACGAGACACGATATGCTCACTGAAGCTGGGGTCTCGAGATCGAATTCCACGTTAGCTAGCTGAAGGGCAGAGAAGGGAGCACTCGTGTTGTTGTTGATGTTGTTGTTGTTGTTGTTTGGTGCCGACCAAAGCGGTCACCAGGTAGAAGGCAAGAAATCCCTACACAAAACGACCGCGCTAAGACGTCAAGAAACAAAGCGCCAGAGTGGTGGTCTGAAAGGTGGCCAGAGTAAATTCTCTCGTTGTCGACGTGTTCCGCTGTGTCGCACTCGATGGCGCAGATCTTGACGGCGTACAGCAGTGGCTGTCTCGTTCCTAAGCCTAACTACACATACTTCAAGTTTTGTCTTCAAGTTTATGTGAACGCTACTACTTGGAATGTTATCCTCGGCTCTCCTTTGACTTTTCCCTACTTAGGCACTTAGCGTCTTTCCTTGCCACCCAACCGTCCTGCTCCTTCGCCTCTCAATGTAGATGACGAGAGTTGTTCTACACAGGTTGACTAGACGTGGTCCGCATATGTAGCGATTGGGCGTCGTTTGCTTTCGCTTTTTTTTCCATTTTTTTTATTTTTGCGTACTGTCGCTCGCACTTTCAACCCACGCCGCAACGTGGCACGTGGTGTTCAATCTTTTCATCGCGCACTCGTTTTATGTTCTTGTTTTGTTTTTTGTTTTCTTCACGCCACTCTGCAAGATAACGAGGACCTACACCGGCGACCAGACCTCGTCCATTGCGGTGGCCATGGCCAAGTGCGACCCCCTCGGGCCCCTCATGGTCAACGTGGTGAAGCTGTACTCCACGCCGGACGGAGAGGCGTTCACTGCCTTAGGACGTGTTTACAGCGGGACTGTAAGAACGGGGCAGAAGGTCAAGGTGAGAGTATTGTCTTTCACCATCCCACGTGTGTAGGATAAACGCGGCTCAAGGGTAAAGCTGTTTTTGTTTTTTCTTAGTACAGCACAACGGATTCGTCTGTATCTTAAGATGAGGGTTTAGGATTTTGGTTCGAGGGGAGGGGGGGGGCTCTGCGCGTCGTTGTGTTTGCTGAACAGGATCAGCGTCAAGGATGTGAAGAAGATATTGGAAATCTTGTGGAGTCCGGCTGGAATGAGATGGACGGGCGTATCTCATTTTGGTTCCATGTGCGACATCTTGGACATGGGCAGGCGATTCGATCCCTCTTCGAGACGCCCAACGCTCCGTGGCACTAGGTGAAACGGTGGCCAATCTTAGCACACCATGCTTTTCTCTGAAAGCTGTTGTTGGTTTTCAGGTGCTTGGGGAGGCGTACTCGACGCACGACGAGGAGGACATGGCGGTCAAGGAAGTCACGGCCATCAGCATCAGCCAGGGCAGGTACCTACTATGAAACCCACGGCTTTTGTTTTCCACCTCTGGAACGTTTGCGTTTGCCGCGTCATTGTGTGTTGTGTTGGACCGGGAGCGTTGCTCTTGAACTGCTGTGATGGGATGCGGACGCGACGAAGGTTGAGCTGTGATGGGCGAGTAGGTTGGCTTTCCGAGGTTGCATGGGGGGAGGGGGCGGGAGGGAGGGTCGTGTTGGCGACAGCCGCAGTCCTCGGCCACAGAAGGCGGTTCCATCGCTTAAATGGTGGGGGGGGAAAGGAAGGCTCTTGACGGTTTTGAAGTCCTTTTTTGTTGTCTCTTTTCTCATCTCATGGCCCGTGTCACACCAGCAACAGTCTAGGCTCACGTGCTGCTCAACCCAGGACATTTCTGGACGTTTTCAAGCGTTTCAATGTCTACTCGTTGTTCACACACGCGCACACGCGTGGCAGAAACAGGCAAGGGAAATGGCGGTGATGGACATCAGCCTCCGACCCGATCAAGGATCGGAGGCCCGGCAACTGTTCATCTCCCCCCTGAATAAAAAAACCGGCGTGCTACGTGCCTGCTTTGGGATGCGAGGTCAATGTACTACCGGCTACGGCATGCACGGCTATGAGTACCCCCCCCCGCCCCCTTCCCAATGTCTCTACCCTCCACCGCCCCTCCATCACGTGCGTCCTTTCTGTCAGGACGGTGATGGACATCAACATGGCGAAGGCCGGCAACTGGGTGTTGCTGGAAGGGGTGGACGCGACGATCCACAAGACGGCCACCATCTGTGAAGCCGAGGAGGGCGGTCTGGGGGGAGGGGAGGAGGCGGCCATCTTCCGGCCCCTGTCGTTCAAGACTACGGCGGTGAGAAGAGAGACAAGGTGGTGGCGTTTGCGGCTGGAGTTTCGACAAGACGTGTCCACGCCGAAACTAACAAGTACAGTCGAATGTGAAAAAGGGAGGAAGCCGACCTCAACATATGTCGGGAGATTGTACGTTATGAAGAGGATCTTCACATGAGTCCTCGATAATAATCTCATGAGCTTACAACGAGAGTACTGAGCAGCGACAGGAACGATTTTTATTGTGGAAGACGACAACAACAACAACACCAGCAGCAGCAACACCAGCAGCATTACCCGCTTTTTTTTTTGCTTGGTTGAGGGATGTTTTTGGTGTGAGGACGTGTGTTTTGCCCGGCGTGGCGTGGTCTGGTGTGGCGGAGTTTTGTTAAGCTTTTGGCCTTGCTAAGGGTAAGGGTAAGGCTCAGGCAAGGAATCGACGATGACCACCTCGCCTTCACCCGTCTGCATCTGCAAGTAAAGCCTTTTTCGGTCATGGAAGCGTTTTGATAATGTAGAAAAATCGTTCGAGGTATCGCGTCCGTTTCATTTTCCATGCGACGGTACGATGATTTGAACATTTCCGTGCCGAATTGTGTATGTTCCTGAGCAGGTGATCAAGTTGGCAGTGGAGCCGCTGAACCCTTCCGACTTGCCGAAGCTTGTGGAGGGGCTCCGCAAGATCAGCAAGAGCTACCCGCTCGCACACACCAAGGCAAGATGACCCGCGGTCGTTTTGAAGTCTCCAGGCCGTAGGTTTTCAACGTTTTGTTTGATCACATCACGATGGCAATGAGGAGTATGGACGCTCATGTTGTCATCTACTTCTGTTGCTTCTGTTGGTACCTACTGTGGTCATTCTCCGTCACGGGATGGGTAGATTGCCAGGGCACTAAACTGCTGCGTCTTTTGTGTTTTGTCGCTAAACATAGCGCGATACAAGTGGTGTTTTCCCGGTTCATGTTTGTTTCACTTTTTTGTTTCCGTTCAGTCTTGCAAGCCCTGAACACGCTCTCCTCGCTCTACTGCTGCTGTTGGTCGGGGTGTCAGGTGGAGGAGTCTGGCGAGCACGTGGTTCTTGGGACAGGCGAGCTGTACATGGACTGCGTCATGCACGACCTCAGGGTCATGTACGCCGACGCCGAGGTAAAGTGGCAGCCCGAAACATCCTCTCTGACAAATGCAATTCACCCTTGTTATTAAATGTTCTAACTCCGCGGAGTTCTTTACCCGTGACCCGGTACTAGGGTAGACTTTGGTTTCCACCTATGATGGTGTTGACACCCCCGCTGCCACCCTACAGATTTTTGCTTCCGCCCGCCGTATGTCGACTCTGTAGTGTACCTTCCAGCGGAGTTGGTGATGCATGTTGTGGCTGTGATGCAGCCCTACGCTTTCCTGGCGCTCTCTGTGGAGGAAGCGCGTGGCGTGTACTGAAAATGACAGCACAGACAGCAGAAGTGGATATTGCCAAGGTGGCTAATAGTTCGTAAACGACCGTCGAGCAGTATGGGGTAGCTGTGAGACAAAGGACCGACTTGTTGCCGTTCGAGCTAGTCACGTAAATCGATAAAAAGGAAGTCCTTCGGTGCTTGGATGATGGCGAGCGACACGGCAGACAAAGCGCTACGTACGCCTACGCGCAAACCTATGCGCGTGCGATGAACACTATCAAATACCACCTTCAAACAGGAGCAGTAACAACAGCGCTGTATCATAGCAACACGCCTGGTAAATCGACAGCACTGTTCACGGCAACACACGCGCCAAGAGCCAACCACAGCAACCAGGAACCATATTGATACGGTGATGGTAACAACAGGTGAAGGTGGCCGACCCTTCGACGGCGTTCTGCGAGACGGTGGTGGAGACGTCCTCCCTCAAGTGCTTCTCCGAGACACCCAACAAGAGGAACAAGCTCACCATGATCGCGGAGCCCCTCGAAAACGGGCTGGCAGTCGACATCGAGTCCGGAGAGGTACGTATATATGTCACTGTAACTGCAGAAGTAGCGAACCGTGCGTAATTGTCCTCGTTTTATGTGCATGCAGCTGCGACCGCATCGTGAGAAGTTGTACAACCGCACCGTGCACAATTTTGGACGGTGGTACCCTTGTTCCGTGTATGCAACTGCTGTAGGGAAGAGGACCGTGCACTGTGCTTACTTGTACCGCGCTTTATGTATGAAGCTGGGACCGCATCTCACAAAGGCGGCGTAGATATCTAGGCGCTTAGGGAATGAGTACACGGGGACGGGGTGGTCGTCGGCATCGAGTGTTCTGGAGAGAGCTGTTCCACTCGAGTTACCACAAGGACTCTGAGAAGAGCGAGGCGGGAAGATGTGTGTCAAGATTGACTGTATATACATTTTTGCAACAGAAAAACTCTTCGAATCGACTCCATTCTACGAGTACGGGGTGATCGACACCATCACGGTTACCGTAGAACAGCGGTCGAGAGGGTGTAGGGCCGAAGACGCGACTAAAAAAGGTACAATAGACAGCCAAACCAAACCTTTGTGGTGTGTGTGCATGCTCATTTCCACCGAAACAGGTGAGCATCGAGTGGGACCGGAAAACTCTGGGAGAGTTCTTTCAATCCAAGTACGACTGGGACCTGCTGGCTGCGAGATCCATCTGGGCCTTCGGTCCTGAGAACGACGGGCCTAACATCCTCGTGGACGACACTCTTCCCAGCGAGGTATTGCTACTTAGGTATTGCTACTTTGGTATTGCTACTTTGGTATTGCTACTTTGGTATTGCGAAAGGGTTGGCGGGGTAGGTCTGCGGTCATGTTCGTCTTGCGTGCCTGCTTTGTGCTGTGGTGTGTGTGTTTTTGTGTGTCTTTTCTATTTATGTGCATCGACCGGTCTAACCGGGAAAAGACGTCATTCTCCTCGATAAATAACGCGGAACACTTTGTTTGCGTGTGTGTGTTTGTTTGTCGGTTGATGAACGGAACTTTACACCGCAGCGTCGTAGCTTTTCGCCATAGAGCCTGACTGACATCGTTTCCAAGCAAGGACTTCACCGGAGGACGTGGGGTCGTCACCAATTGGTCGGCGGGAGTTGGGGGAGCGAGAGTCGAAGGAAACGTGAATTTTTTTTCCTCAAACGATCCAACTTATGAGGATCAGTACGCATCTCCTGGAGATACTGCTCTGTTTGAGTCAGGACGGTGTGTGTTGTTGAGATAAAAAGCAACAATCAACTTTGGCAGTGACAACGGGCACCGCAGCGGTCCATGCCCTTCCTCCAGCTGTTCTAATACGACACTATCTATAGGGATAGATTCAAAAAAGCTTCGTGCCAAGCCAAGCACCCAATATTCTCAACTAGCCACCGCCCGCCGCCTCCTCCCTTCCCCCCTCCCTCCCTCCCTCCCTCCCTCCCTCCCTCCCTCCCTCTCGCGGCTCCACGCTTGTCCTTGCATGCAGGTTGACAAGAACCGCCTGAATGCTTGCCGCGACAGCATCGTACAGGGCTTCCAGTGGGGATGTAGGGAGGGACCGCTCTGCGACGAGCCTATCCGTAACGCCAAGTTCAAGATCCTGGACGCGGTGATCGCGGCAGAACCTATCCACCGGGGGGGGGGGCAGGTGCGCGGGTCCTAGGTAGCACTGGAGGTGTGCTGTGGGCTGTGGGCTTTGAGCTGCGCACTTGGATCGGTCGAAAGTTTTCTTGCGCACTCGTTGCTGCTTGTAAGAGACGCTAAAAAAACAAAAGTCCGTCCATGTGCCACAGAAGGAAAGTATCGGGCTCGTCTCCAGTGTCTGGACCATTGTTAAGCTTAACCTGTATTGAACGCAATGCTTCGAGGATTGAGTTACTCGATGATTCTCTCTAGGCGAGGCTGGGTGAAAAGCACACGCGCAACAAGGATTTCACTGATTTATTGCAAAGTACGCGGTACAGTAGTAGCTTCCAAGGGGTTTGGCGTCAAAGTTCCAGCCTTAACCCTAAATCCTACTCCTAGAAGCAGTCGAGGGCTTCCCACGAAGTAGTCGAGGTTCGCTCAATAAGCCTTAGAGGGTTATTGCGCAAGCGCCACTTCGGTTGTTCAATGTGATCGCTAACAACAACGACGTACCGCCAAGTCTCAAGATCCTGGACTCGGTGACCGCGGCGGAACCTTTCCACCGGGGGAGCCGGGGGGCAGGTCCGCGCGCGGTCCCATTTGGCACTAGCTGTGGAGCCGTGTGGCCTTGCCTCTAGGACGTTCCCGTTGGTGATGGCGGAGGGTTTGAACAGCGGTTGCGTGTCTTGTATATGTCAGGTTATCCCGACGGCGAGGAGGGTGGCGTACTCGGCCTTCCTGATGGCGACGCCACGGCTCATGGAGCCCATCTTCCGGGTGGAGGTTCAGGCGCCAGCGGACGTGGTTTCGGCCATCTACCCCGCTCTTCAGAAGAGGAGAGGACACGTCGTTCAGGCAGGACGGGAGGGAGGCTAGATGAGGAATAAACGTATCGATAAAAGGCGTGTGGAATGGACAGAAAAATTGAAACTACACAATCGCAAAACAATCAATCTCCTGGAGAAAAATTAAGCGTTTTGGAAGACATTTGTATTTGATGGAGGGAAGAATGGTGCCTGTTTTTATTGTAAAAAGTGAGTTTGTGCGTGCTAAGACTGTTGCTGTTGATGTGCTTACCTGTTGTGTGGCGCTCTCGGTGTGCAGGACGCTCCAAAGCCGGGGGCACCTTTCTACACGGTGAAGGCGTTCATCCCCTCCATCGACTCCTTCGGTTTCGAGACCGACCTCAGGGCCTACACGCAGGTGCGCCTGACGTTGTTTCCCGCCCTGCCTTCGCCATGTTACCCTCGAGATGCGGGGCGAGGCGAAGCAGCCGGTCACATTTTTTGTGTGTTCGCTTTTTTGTTCTCCCCACAAATCCCAAACGCAGTAGTTTGTGGGTGATGATGCCCTTCGTTGTTGACACTGAAGTTTCTTCTTGTCTTGATCTTGTGGAAGTTGATGGTTTTGTAGTTGGTGACGTCTGCGAGACCCCAACCACTATCATACGCGACGCTCAACGACAACTACGCAAGAACGGCAGAAACTGTGTAGACTGCTGCGGTTGTACCGTACGGACACCCCAAATGTTCGTGAAGTTGGATGACAACCCATGTATACCCGCACCCGCGGCGACAACAGCGCTGCTGTACTACGCAAGCCACTCAAGAATCGACGATCTCGATGACCCAAAAAACACCGCCAAACGGTACTGCTGCTTGCTGTCTCTGACGCCGCGTTTTGGTTGTTTGCTTGCTTTGCCCGCTGTGTCTTTTTTCCTTGCTTGCGTCGGTCGGGGTGACAGGGTCAAGCCTTCTGCACACAGGTGTTCGACCACTGGAGCATCGTACCGGGGGACCCGCTGGACCGCAACATTATCCTGCACCCGCTTGAGCCGTCGCCGCCACAGCACCTCGCCAGGGAGTTCATGGTGCGTTGCGGTGTTTTGCTAAAAGCGGCAGCGTGTTTTGGTTTGTTTTTGTCCGAGGGAAAACATGCTTTGTAGCGCCCGCCAGATGGTTGTGGTTGAGAATTGGCAGCGGTACGCACAAGGCTCGCTGCCAGGCATGTCGATGACTTGTATGGAGCATCTGTTGTTGCGTTTCCGTTTTTGCTTCATCGAGTCTCGGGCAGCTGGCCTGTGTGGCTTGCTTTGCTCCCTCTCTCGCCCCCCCCCC